GTTTTGGACTTTTAGGGTTTAGGGTTTAGGGTTTAGGGTTTAGGGTTTGTGGTGCAGGTGGATGAGCTGAACTTGCTGGTGATTCCGGGTTTGCTGCTGCTAAGTGCAGCAAACCCTTTTTTCTTTTCGCTGCCTGTTTGTGAGGGTTTGTCTTTGCTGCCGTGGGTGGGGCCCTGGTTTGCTGCTGCTGCTGCTGCTGCTGCAGCAGCTGCTGCAGCAGTTGCTGAGGCTCTTGGCAGCACCTTCCTGCAGCAGCAGCAGCAGCAAATCACACTCGGCATCTGCGCCCTTGCTTTGTCCGTGGTCTTTTCATTCGTCCAGTCCGCGAAGTCAGCTAGGGTTTAGGGTGTAGGGTTTAGGGTTCAGGGTTTAGGGCTTGGGGTTTAGTGTTTGGGTTTAGGGTTTGGGGTTTAGGGTTTAGGGTCTAGGGTTTAGGGTTTGGGTAGCCGTCGCATCTCTCTTTTCGGGCAAACGCGTCTTGTGGTTTAGCCCTTTATCGGTTCTAGGGTTTAGGGTTTTAGGTCTTGGAACAAGGGTCTAGGGTTTAGGGTTTAGGGTTTAGGGTTTAGGGTTTGCGTGTAGGCTTGTGATAAAGCTGATGTCTCGCGAGCACCTGCCGCGGTTCCTGCCTGGCGTTTGTTTCTTCGCCGCTGTAAAAACCCATAAACCCTAAACCCTAAACTCGGCTGCTGCTGTTGTTGCTGCTGCTGTTTTGCTGCTGCTGCTGTTGCTGCTGCTGCTGCTGCCTGGGCGTCTAGCGGCATGATTTTTTTGGTGGAAATTAAGAATAAGATGTATTTTAAAATGATTTACATAAAATAAAATAAATAATTTATTATTTATTTTGTCTTCAGAGTTTCTTCTTTAAACCCCCGTTGGGTCTTCAAATTATTTTCTTTTCTCTTTTGTGTTTGGAGCTCATCGCCGCCCGCCTGAAGCTGCATGTGCGTTCGCTGTTGGTGAGTTTTTTAAATTATTTATTTTAAATTATTTATTTTATTTTAGTTCATTTTATTTAAATAAATAATTATATAGTTTTAATTGAATCCATTTGCTGCTTCCTGGAAAGCCAGTCGAGAGAAGCGGCCCAGCCACTGATTTGCTGTTGCTGCTGCTGCTGCTGTTTTGCTGCTGCTGCTGCTGGAGTGCTGCTGCTGCTGCTGCTGCTGTTTTTCTGCTGTTTTTCTGCTGTTTCGCTGCTGCTGTTTAGCTTCTGCCGTCGTGCTGCTAATAGCGTTCATCCTGCTGCTGCAGCTGTTTTGCTGCTACTGCTTCTCTGCTGCTGATGCTGCTCTTCTCGCTGCTGTTGCTGCTACCGCTGCAGCTGCTGCTGCTGCTGCTGCAGTATCTGTGGGGGCGGGAGTGTCTGTGCGTCTGCTGCTGCTGCTGCAGTACCTGTGGGCGCCGGTGTGTCTATACATTTGCTGCTGCTGCTACATCTCTCCGCCGGCCGTGCTGCAGCAGCTGGCAGCAGCGCAGCGGCTTGCTGCTGCTGCTGAGGTCCTTGAGCGCCACGGCGCAGGAGATGCTGTTTATTTATTTTCTTTTTCCCTTCTTTTTATTTGTCTTTTTGTTTACAAACATATTATCAACAAAAGAAACCGCCCCTCCAAAGGCGCGGCAGATGCAGCCAAACAGAAGCCGCAGTGAGCTAGCTAGCTAGCTAGCTAGCTAGCTAGCCAACTAGCTAGCTGGCTAGCTAGCTGGCTAGATGACAGGCTCCTAGCCAGCTAGCTGCGTCCATTGGTGGCTAGCTGGATGGCTGGCGGAGTAGCTAGCTGGCTGCTTTCAAGCTAGCTAGCTACCTAGCTAGCTGCAGCCCCCTTTTGGGGCAGCCTAGCTAGCTGTGCTGGCTAGCTAGGCTCCTGTATGGCTCGTGTGGGCACCTTCTAATTGAAGCTAGCTAGCTAGCTAGCTAGCTAGCTGCTTAGCCGGCGAGCTAGCGGGCAGGCCAAACGCCCATGTCTCGCTACTAGTTAACCAGCTAGCTAGCTAGCTAGCTGGCTAGCTGGGTGGCTAGCTAGGTTCTCAGCTTAAATAGGTTTTCTTTTCTTTGCCGCATTCCTTTGGATGAGTTGTGTTGGTTTGCGTTGTCTTTATAAAAGTGTATTTGCAGCTTCATTTCTCATTTGTCTTTTGCGGACTGACGGGGTGTACGTACACCCGAAACTGCAAACGAATGTGCAAAGGCTTCGCATCTACGGGGCCCCAGGCATTTACTTTAAAGCAAATACAAATAAATATAAATATAAATATAAATAAAATATAAATTCAAATGAAATATAAATATAAAAGCACTTGTAAATGTCGATAGGAAAGTAAATGCAAATATGAGCTTCGCGTGAACTGTCTGTACACCACAGCTCACTAATTTGAACTGTACAGACAGGGTGGCGCACGTTACTGGATATTTCCCAACTCCAGTTTAGTCTTGAAAATTACAACATATTAATACGGCAAAGGGCGCTATAGAGGCTGCGTTGGAGGGCGTGGCTAGCTAGCTAGCTAGCTAGCTAGCCAGCTAGCTAGCCAGCCGGCTAGCAAGTTAGCTGCGGTGCAAGCTAGACGCTCATGTATCTAGCTAGCTAGCTGGCTGGCTAGCTAGCTGGCTGGCTGGCTAGCTAGCCGGCTAGCTAGCTAGCTAGCTAGCCAGCCAGCTAGCTAGCCAGCTGGCTAGGTAGCTAGTTGCTTGAGGAGCGAGCTGAAATCTTTCGCGAGCTTCCGGTGGGGGTTCCCGGCGGTGACGTTACGTTCCGCAT